AACTTCCTTCAAAGACACAAATGAGCGGCGTTTTGTAATGGCTGCTTAACTGTTTAGAAATTCCCGCCACGACGGCGTTCTCTCCCCAGTCTTATGCGGGTTTTGGAGTCCCCGTCGCCGTCCCCGCTTTCGTTGCTTAAAGTCTCTAATGGCCTTTTGGACACTACCCGCCTTGAATTGCGTGCATGCACCCGTAAGGTATTCGTGTATGTCACTCAAGACACTGGGAAAATTACTTACCGAATTTTTTATGTCGCGCAGCATGGATATTATTTTTTCGCCTTTGGTTTCCCTTGAGGCTTCTTCTGACCTTTCACTAAAAAACGATCCTTGCTGTAGTGATCGCCATAGAAGCCTTTACTAGACTTGCCTCTATCGCGGCGGAACTCATTGTTCGAATAGTATGGGCGGGTGGGTCCCATTGGCTTTTTGTGTGCGTTGGCGCCAATCTTTTTGCCGATTGCGCTCGTCTCCTTCGCATCACGTACTTGCTTCGTCAAGTCCTCGCCAAAGAGGTGTTTTGAAACATTATCTTGTGATTCTTTTGTACACAAGGAGGCGTATTCTGGTTTCAGCATTGGTCTAATGCGTTCCCGCCTCAAACCAATGATATCTCCCGCAGCATGGCCTAATAAAGCGATAGCAGCAATATTTTGGGCCAGAAGCGTTTTAGATCTTTCGGAAATATAGTCAATGAATGGCTCAGATGACTTAAGCAGCGCGAAGGAAGCCTTCTGAAGGGTTTCCTGTATATTCTGTAGGCGTTTGTCTGCTTTTTTCTAGTGGTTTGCTAATTGACACAAGATTTCCTTGTTGACCTGGGCTACGTGGAGCTCACAGTTTTCGGGATGAGCATGCTTTTCAACCAGTGGTTTTAGCTTTTCTGGCGGTAAAGTTATTCCCCAGCGTTTCTTCGCAATGTTTGCTATGCTTTGGTTGATTTCCGGCCCAACTGGAACGGAGTCGGCAAATTCTGCTTCGAGGCTTTTGATAGATTCATCAGGCTCATTGGCCGATTGGGTTGGCGACTCATCCTCGGCGGAGGTACCCGAAGGATTGATCAAATCGTCGATATCTTGGTCCGAAGCTGTGGTGCTGAGCTCATCAAAGTCGCGTCGACGTTTTGGCGCGGGTTCGGATTC